ATCTCCATATTAAGACACATCCATTCAAGCAAAAATTGAGTTAGCCAAGCAAGAAAAAAACTCAACTTCTCATTCAAACTATTCTGCAGATACAAGCACTGGAGTCTCCTGTGAGCCACAGGATGTAGTATTTACATACATCTGTCCAAACTGCAACATTTCTGAAGTTTTATGAAGGAAACTGAAACCAGGAACAGTCAAGCATTCAAAGCTATGACTCACTTTTATCTGATTATCTTCCCAATTAAAAATTTGAGAGACAATGGAATATAATCACTATAATTAGATATTATGCAAGCAGCTGAATGACACTGCAGTGCATAATTAATGATCGATTCCCCACCTGCCTCCTTATTTCATATTCAGACATGGGGCCCCCACTTTACAAAGACAGTCTTGCTAATGGCAAAAATGGAACCTAACAGAGCATAAGAAATGTACTCCCAGACTGCAGTGAGGAAACCAACAGTGAAGAAATTAAATGGTCTTAGTTTCCTTCAGCTGCTAAGTGATATATGACTCTCCAGACTAGAGGCATGCAGCTTTCACCAGGAGTTTCACCAAAAGTTACAGGTATTAGGATGTGATCATCCTTTGACTGTACTGACTTTAGCGCAGTCATATCTGGGGTAGACATGGCCTAGCTCTACACATGGCTATTTCAGAATAAGGCTTCAAACCAAGCAATGAGATACAGTCCCACTTGTGCAAACACGTCATACTCTGGGATTACCCTTCACTGTTTCAGTATAGGAGCCCCCTCCACGAATACTTCTCTTTGTCCAGACTGGCATTAAATTATTCCAGAAACATAGTTCCTATCTAGTGTCTGATCAAAGAACCATAATGAGGATGCAGACAGCTGGAAAAGTGTTGTACACAACTGTATTTTACTATCTGCTGCAGTATCCACTTATCTAACACCTACCATCCTGTTATCTGACTGCACCACAGGCAAAGTCAGACCTGTGCTGCTAGGCAGACAACGGATTTCACAGGTGCCCTCTTCAGCTCCTGCCCAGGCTCAAAGACAGTCTTCTGAGGTACCTATATATACATGTTCATGTTGCATGTATACATAAATGCAAACGCTCTCACTCAGCCTGGCTTCCATGCAGCTCTAAAAGCATTCAGACCCTGAATTTGTTTATTTATACTTGTTTATAAGTACAGGATGTTCTGGAAGGTGGAGAGGGACAAGTTTCCAGATTCCTTCTGGGGCACTATACACGGAGACCCTCAGAAAAAGCCAAGGTGCATGCTCCATTTACAAAAAAGAAAACTTCCGCTGCCCCTAAGTCCTCAAACTTATTAAGGTAAGACAAACAAAAGGGTAGAGGGAAACCAGTAATACTATTCAATTTTTTTGTCAAGCAACTGAATCCTGCTAAGCTCCAAACCATGCAGCTACTATCACAATTAGAACAACAAAAAAAATCTGAACTTGCAGAGACAAGCAGTTTCCTCCTCCTGTGTTGCTATTAAGCAAAACAAGCAGGATTGTGGGGTGTGTGTTTGTGTTGCACACTAAGGTGGGATGTGAGTTCTTCCCTAGTGATTGTTTGCAATTTGAACAGGGGGAAGTGTGCGTGAATGTAAGAGGAAAGTGAGGAGAATTTACTGAAAGAAACCAAACTTCTAGAACAGAGGTTCTGTTGGTTGCTAGTCCTAGGAGCCTCCAAAAGGCTGGCTTCTTAATCTAAGTGATTCCACTTTGGCAGCTGACAGTCCTTTCAATGAAGAAGCACCTGAGTATTTAATAACAGAGAATTAGCGATCTGACAATAGGCAAGGTACTCGCTCAGGCATTAGTAAGGAAACAGAGTGACACCTTACACGAAAAGCTACTTGAATGCCATTTAAACTTGTCAAATTGCAGAAAATAGAACTGCAAATTGATAAAATCAGGGTTATTCATTATGTGAACTAATGTCTAATTTTCTTAAATTGCATCCATTTTACACAAGTTAAAACAAGAGAGATTCTCTGCCTGAAATACTAACGTATGGGAACAAACCTGGACAGGACCAAGTAGCCAGTACTGCCAAGAACTGCTGTAATGCATTTAGAGATCATGAGGCTAGAAGACACCAAAGCAATCTCCCTGTCTGACCTCCTAAAAAATACAGATCTTACTACTCCCTAAATGAATTCCCTGCTTCACGTAGAGTACGCTGTCAAGAGATGTTGACATTGCCAGCAACAAAGAAGCCAGGACAAACCTTGATAAGCCATTCCAGCGGTTAATTACCCTCATTCTTTTCAAACATAGACCTTTCCTGAAGGCTAGATTTGTCCAGCTGCAACTTCCAGCCAGCAGCTATACACTTGCCAGCTAGATGGAAGAACCCACTATCACGTTTCTGGTCCTTATGTAGGTACTTACAGAATGGTCAAGCCACCTCTAAACTTCTGTTCAATAAGCTAAACAGACTGTGCTCTCAGAGCATGTCACTAAAAGGCATGTTGTTCAGACCTTTTAATCATTCTGACAGATTGCCTCTGATCCTTCTCCAGCTTCCCAGCATCCTTCTAGCACTGTTGAAACAAGACCTGGGCATGATATCACAAAAGCAATTGCACCAGTGACAGAAGCGGAGGTAGCATTACCTCCTAACTCTCACTTGACAATCCCTTGTTTTTACATTCAAAAATTACACTAATCCTTGTGCTAGCTGGAACTGATTATTCAGCAGATGCCCCACATCCTTCTCAGGGCCCTCCCCTTCCCAGAAGGGTCTCCCACTCTGCAAGCATAGCCCGACTTTTTAGTTCCTAGATGCCCATATGTAACATTTGGCATATTTAACATTAGGAGGCTCCACAGTTGCTTGCTTGCATTCTAGTACACAGTACCGCTGGCTTGGAAACCTGGTGTCACATCACCTGTTGACACAAGACCTGGGAGTAGCGGACTTTAATCTACAGACATCAGTCACCAATGATCCAGGATTTCCTTCCAGGTTCACCCGCTTTTAAAAATGTTAAACAATATAGAGCTAAGGACCAATTGCTGCAGGACCTTACTAGAAACACACCTGCTCAGCAATGATGTCTTGCTAACCATCACATTTACAGACCTGTCACAACTGGCCAGTTTGTAATGTCATTAGTGTGTGCCATGTTAATTCTGTATCATTTTTTGTTTCAAAATGTCCTGTGGTAGCAAATCAACTGCTTTAGAGATGTCTAAAGTGCTTATTTTAATCAACTAAATTTATCAAAAAAGAGATATGGAGTTAGTTTGACAAGATCTATTTTCCATAAACCCTTCTTGACTGACATTAATTATATTATTCTCCTTTAACTCTTTGCTAATCAAATCCTTTTATCAGCTGTTTCATTATTTTGCCCAGGATTAACATCAAGTTGACAGGGCTATGATTACTGGGGTTGTCTTATTTACCCTTTTTATATACCGACACAACACCAGCTTTCTTCCAGGCTTCTGGAACCCTCCCACAGATCCAGATCCAGGGATGAACATTAATGGCCCAGAGGACCTGACATGCCGTTATTTCACAAAGTGCTTACAGATGCATGGGGTGAGTTGCCTCCAGCACCTTCTTACATGGCACAGGATGTGTGTGCATCAAGCACCTCACCAAAGCATAGTTAAGCCAGGAACGAGCCCTGGGAAGGGACAACAGAAAGGCCAAAACACTATGTGGTAGATGCAGTTTAGCACACCTCTGGGAACTTGAATTACCACAAGTGAGCAGGACTAGAGCTTCGATACTCCTTGGAGAGGAAAGTCCTCTGCAGCTGCCCACTGACCTTTCCACCCAACAGGAGCAGGCAGAGGACCAATGAATGCCACCCCATTCTGGGTGGTTTGGGCTGCGACTGCAAACCAGAGTCACTGTGAGTGCCGAGCACAAAGTGGGCATGTGTGAGAAGGTGGTGACAAGGCCTCACTAGCATGAGAAGAGACACCTGTTTGCTCTAGCCTTCCAGGCATGCATCCTAATTGAAATTAATGCACGACTCTCGAAGTCAGGAGATGGGGAAGTTTAGAATTACATTTTGCTGCCATCTCTTATAAAAAAAGACTAGACAAGTGGAAACCAGGCCACAAAGAGGCTAGAGGGCCTGGATGGAAATGATAGCTGATGTAAGCGATGGGGACACGTCAAAGAGTAGCAGAGGCATTGCAGAAAGGCAATAAGGCAGCAGAGGGGAAAGAAGCAGTTAACTTGGAGAGGAGAGGGAGAACAGGAAGAAATTAAATTGATGGTACCATTGCAAAGTGAGATGAAATTGTATGAAAACATGGTTCTATAATCCCCTCTCAGCCTGCTCCAGTCAGCTTACACAGCCTTTGCTCTGCACTTTCAGTACGTGAACGAAGTACCGTCAGGACTGAAACCTGGGTCTCCTCACCACTCACTGCAGTCATGCAACTATAGCTGCTCTGCTCTCCAGGGGCTCTAATACAAACCTCATTGACTTTGGGCAGAGCTATGGCATTTGGCTCCAACAAAACGGTAGACAGCAGAAGGCTTGTTGCTAGAGGTGCTGCAGGTCACGTCCGTTATTTGCCTCCCGAAACAAGCAGAGTTATGTCGTTTTGAAGAGGGCAGCTCAGGAAAGGCAAAAACCGAAGAGACTTATTTTCAAATAACCACTCTTACCTTTAAAAGCTACCTTGGGCTTTAATGGTGTAGAAGAAACATTGGAAAGGGGGTTGAGTCTTATCCCACTACACTGCCTATTTTTCTTTTTTTTTAGTAGGAAGAGGAGAAAGGGAGAAATGGGATTTCTGCCTCAGAAAAAGAGCAGGATCCTGAGCAGTGAGGCAGTATGGTGAAGAACAGAACAGAGATGTATTTTCAAAGCCCAGAGTTAACCGTACTTAAGGCCAGTAACTCAACAATACTTGACTTCAACTCAGGCAAGGGTGACAACGCTGGCAAGGGAACGCTTCTTGTGCCTCGCTTTCATGGTAACAGACACAAGCACAAGAAAAAAAAAATCATCAATTTGCTAGCTTTAGTAAAACTTTATTCCTTTATGTTCAAAGCATATTTGTCCATATGTAAAACAGCATCAAATACATTGCAAAGCTGGCCAATTTGGCTGGCAATTGGGAAGAGACAGCATAGCTGACAGCAACCAAGCCAAAATTCTGGAACTAAATCAAACTGACAGTGTCCCTTTAAGGGAACAAGCATAACCAAACAAGTCTATTTTTAAACTACTTTTGCAGAAGGCTGCGGCCATTTCTGATGCTGTAACCAGCAGCCAAGACACCATCTGTGGCAGTAACTTCTGGGAGATAGTACAAGGGGACGTTGCTCCTCCACATCCCTCCCCAGCTCTGTCTCAGGAAAGGAGCAGCAAAAGGATTTTAATGAATTTTTTTTCCCAACAAACTCAAAGCAAAGCAACCAGCATACAGTGCACTCATCAAAAGGAACACAGTAGCCACGGCCGTGCATACTCAGCGCTCTGTTCCTTCATGCTATGTTGCTATTGTCAGTCAGACCACTTGCAGCTCTAGAATATAAAAAGAGGGAGAGATAGGCAAGTTATCAGTAAGAAACAGGCATGATGAAATCTACAACCAGAGTCACAAGGTAACAGACTTCTGCCCCCTAAAAGCCTACACAGGAAGAATTGCTCTCCAGAGAGCACTTCCCCCTCTTCTCTACCCAAAAAAATCTCATTCCTTTTTCAGGAAATCTGTTAGGTGTTGAAAAAAAATCTTTTGATTATCCTGTGGGGAAACAATACTACTCCTAGCAGAATGATCTAAAGGATACCCCAAGCTTTCTTTGTTTAAATAGAATTTGCTTTTTCTTAGGACTTCTGTGGTCATTCCTATGCAATATTAGGAAATACTAGTCTGAAAAGGATATCTAGAGCATCTAGTAAAAGGGCCTTTTTAAAATACTGAAGCCCATATTAGACTTAAGGGGGGATGGGGGAGAAGCTACAGAACAATTCTGCAGCAAGAAGCTTTTTACTTTCCCACTCCTACCAATTCACTAAAGCACCATCATGGTGAAGTGTCAATTGACCTAACTTATTCAGAACAAAAATCCAAAAGATATTCCATACATCAGGAAGGCTATAGTTTAGATTCATAAGTTTATGTTGACACAGCTTTTAAAACAGAGCTTGCCCATTTGCAGCCTGTATTCTCATAAAACAAGGAAACAGCTGATAATTAATAGCAGTACTTCTGAGAACTGATTGCACCCAGTACTTGTGACATTTTAGGTATTCACACTAGGGAACACATCATTAACTGAGGTCAAGCCATCTCTGCAATTCTTAAAGCTTCTTTCACATTGCAGAACCTAATTTAATAGAGACATAACCTCCTTGACATCTTCCCCACCTCCCATTAACAATCCTCTAACATCTCTGTGGCACCTAGAGCAATTGCTTACAGAGGAGTACTAGCAGGGAGGCATTTAAAGCATTTTAGCTGTCTTTGCATGCAGTTTTCAACACCATGCGATCAGCACTCTGTAGACCACTGCAATCCACAAACCGTAACTTCATTATCTAGGGCAAAACTGGAAGTTTATACAGGTTTCAACAGTGTAGCATGGACTTAATAAAGCATCCTCTTCTAACCTCAGAAAGCATAATTTCCACAGCAGAAAGTGCTCCCTTCTTCATTAACATCAAAATGTCACTAATGGTGCCACTAGACATCAAGCAGCATCCTTCTGAGAATCTGGCATATCCTTCACTCATCCAGCTTTCAGACAAGTACAGCATTCAGCTGAATAGCTTTTTCAACAAATGACATGTCACAGCCTTGACACAAAAATACTTGCACCTTGTCAATCATTCATTCACCATTAAGTTCAAATGCTCATATTCAGAGATTGATTTTATGTGCACTGCACTTAATGTTAAATACAGACTCTTAGAGGGAAAGATGAGTGCAAGTAAAAGTACAAAGCAAATGTGGCAAATTAGAGAAAATATAGTGCCATTTGTACAGTAAATAGGCAACGCAACTTCTGTAGCACATGGAATTCAGGCATTAGCTACACAGAACAACAAAAGCACTGTGTCAGATGACAAAGATGGAAATGTAAGTTGGTATGGATGGTCTCCAGTTTTAAACTGGTGACCTAAGAGTCCCAGTCCAAAGGTTAGATACTGTTTTAACCATCAGGGTTGTTACACTGCAATCATCACTATAATACAACATAGCAAGTCAGATCCTTTATCGACAGAGAGAAATCCATGTGTCATTTCCAGCACCCCAGTTATTTCTTTGATAGATGTGTAAAATAAAGTGCTATTGTGCAGAATAAGTTGCCTGTACCAGCCAAGGCATCCTTCATCACTTCCTTTATGCCAGTTTGATCTGAACAGAAACTATGGGAAAAATTAAACATAGTCACTTTGGAATTATTCAGGCAAAATGACAGTAATTACAAACTTTTCCACTTAACCTCTCCAGGGCCACGTCACAGAAATAACTCAAATATCTTAAAGATGCCTGCAAGGAAAGAGCAGAAGCTAGTTTGGGATTTCTGAAAGGTCCAAAGGTATTAAATTCAAAAGAGCTGGATGCTTAATACCTGTATTTCACTTCAGAAACAACAATCTAAGATGCCTGGAATAACCAAAAAAGTGGTCTCTACAAAATCCAGATGCTAGTGGAACTGAAAATAATACAAGACAAAAGCTTTAGGAAAGGTATTGTTTAGTATTATACTCTTACTGCTTCTTGGAGTAATTTTAAAAGAGTTTTCTTGGCCTCATCCCTTTTCTTTTTTTCTAGAGGGCTTTACAGTATGTGGTATGGTGTTTTACAATTACATTTTTAAAGAAAAATTACATTTAATTGAGAAGCCCATTTTCTGGTGTAGCAGTGCTTTGAAATGACATTTTTAACCAGCCTCTTTCCAGACTTTCCCCAGTCCTCCCAAATCACCCAGGGAAGCCACTTTAACCATCTGTGCACACTGTCTTGCATGGAGACCCTGCCGGGCCAGCTCACATACCTGGCAACAACTCAATTACGCTCCAGCTATGTTTCATCTACAGTTAAGGATTTGGATCTATTATTCCTCTCATTTAACTTGCTTCTTTTTATCTTGGTGTCAACCATCTTAGACAATGAACAATTACATGAACTAGTCAGTCAGTATATATCATCTAAGCAGATACACAAAAGTTCTGAGGTTATTGATTCTTGTAGATTTTAATATCCCATTGAACAGCCCAATCTGATTAACTCAATTTAATTTAATGCCACTCATTCATTACTTTGTGCTCTTAATTGCCACATGCTAAGTTAGCTGCTTCTGTCTCTCCAGTTTTCTTTTCATCCCTCTTTCATGGATCAGGTAACTCTGTACTGTATTTGCAGTCAAAGACCCCAGGGAATTAACTCAAGAGTAGCAATCTTCAATCAGCTGAGTTTCTCAGCTAACGTAGGCTCCACTTAATCGCTGCTTGAATCAAGGCACTGCAGCTTCAGCAAGGACAGGGCGGAGAACTGGCACACAGAGACATAAAAGCTTGTGTAAGCGACGCATTGGGAGATTGTCTCTATGCTCAGTGACAGTAGATAGTAGAGGCTTGTGGCTCCCTCTTCTAGAGTTTTGATGCTCTTTCATGCTATTTTTGGAAATGCCGAGGCACTACACATTCTGCTTTTCACAATGGCTTGTACATACAGGGCTCCTTTCTGCTTTACTATGCCAGTGTAACCATTTTAATCTAAGGAGGTCTCTTGGAAATGAACACGAGCATGGGGGAGGGAAGGAATATAATAGCAAGTGTTGAAGCTCTCAAAGTAGTGTATTTTTCTCCTGGTTCTAAATGATTTTATTGTATATCAGATTTTCATCACATTACCTCAAATGGCAGTAACTGGCCCACTGCTCACTTTCATAGCATCGCCATTACTGCAAAGTAGCATCTCTTTTAATAGTGCCAGGGTTAGTGGCTCCAGATAGAAAAAAGGGATTATGGTAGGGTGCCCACTTACCCACTGCTACTTCATTTCCTCAGCCATTTATCAACACATTCTTCATTTGGAGAAATAAAATCTATGGTAGGCAGAGCTCTTCCAGTGCATTTAGCTTCCCTGGCGTGATACAGGTGGTAACACAGCTGAGATCAAACACTTCCATCTTTTCTCCAGAGCCAGCTTGGCTGTAGACTAGCTGCTTTTCAATTAGAGACTGAAATATTTCTGGCAAGGGTTAAGCATCCTTTTTGCAGCTGGGATTTGCCTGGCTGTTGCTGTCTTACTTAAAGAATATTCACTTTCTTCTTAGTAGCTCATTCAATTTTTCCCCATGGTCCATAAAAAGAGAAAGGCCTGGCTCAAGTTATGAGTCACTCACAAACCTATGGAAAGTTTTAAGCAAATAAGGAGACCTAGATATTAGAACACTGCTGCTGTGTTACAGTTTATAAACCTTGCCACATATTGCAATAAATATTTCTCTGCTAGTTTCCTACAAGAAAAGGGAAATAACTACCTTGTGGACAAAGCCTGAGAAAGCTTCAAGAGACCTCTTGGCTTGTCGTTAAGTCATTGCAACTCCCTGAATATCTTTACTCCAAGCAGGGATAACAACTGTTGCCATTCACAGGGATTTTAGCAAGTTTAATTTCTTGAGACATCTGTGAGGACAGCAGTAAAAGGTAACATCATTCCAATGTGTTGTAGGGAGGAGAAAGTACTGTAATGGCTTGTTCCACTTTCAGAAATCTTTATCCCTCTCTGGGCTTTATATTTAATATGTAATGTAGCAACAAATTACTTGTGGCTATTCTGTCTCTAGAAGGCTTAAAGACTGTGGAACCAATGTGTCAGTGATAGAGATTTTCAGAATGTAAAGCACAAAACATGGAGCACAACTTTCAGATCTGTACCTAACTTTATCATAAATTTTCCCTGTGATCTTCAAGGACACCTATTACTTAACGTGATTTAATACCCACCAGAACACTTCAAATCTTTGTTTGCCTCCATGCCTGGCTCTTCTCTACATCCTGTTAGATCCCCTGTAGAGTCCACATGATGACAGTATGCCACTCTTAGTTCCTTTAAGCTTTTATACATTTCTGCTGACGTGCTAATATTTGCTTCACTGGGTCAGCCTTTGCTATCTGACTACTCTTTACAAGTTATGATTCAAAATAACCAGGATGTCTGGTTTTCAAGTTTAAAGCCAAATGACTTGTAGTCTCACTCCTCATATAAAAATCAGTAACAGTTGACTGACAGGCAACATACCAATTTCCATAGTGTTTCTAATAGCTGTTTCTAATAGTGTTTAGAACTGTACGTACTGGAGACTTCTTTTTTCCTATTCAGGCTAGCTTCTCATCCCAACATACACATTGTGTTTTGCACTTTATGAATTCCTAGTATGCATGTAACTTGATAAATCAGCAATTACAAATCAGCCACACACTCTTTGTGTTACATCTGTCGTTCCACTCCCTACCCTGAAGGGCTTTATCAGCAAAGTTTTGAGACAGTGGTTCTGCAGGTGCATGTA